TAGTAGTAGGTAGTAGTAGGTAGTAGTAGGTAGTAGTAGGTAGTAGTGGTGGTAGTAGTAGTAGTAGTAGCAGTAGTAGTAGTAGTAGTAGTAGGCCTTTTTGTCACTTGTTGCTGGAGTGCTGATATTATATATTCTTTTTTGGCGAGGGTCGTGAGGTTGGTTGCGCCTACTGTAAAGGAAGTAGTCTCTCTACCCTGCGCTGAAGCCCTTGTGGCAACGAAACTGAAGCTCAGTTTAGACTTTCTGACTAATTGTCATTATTTTTTGATTCTGGATGCTATACTTGGTGCTTGATATCGACAAACCTCCATTGGAGCATATGCACAAACAGTGCAGTACACACATCATGCCATGTAGATCCCCAGCCAGCATGGATTGTTCATTGAACATGCACATGTAGAGCGTGCACTTTGCCATTTATTGCAACCAGCTGACTATCAGGTATGCAGAACATCCTCTTTATGCCGAACTCATTGCTGCGGAATTGCCGGAGACCAGCAACCGCACACTGGTTCAGGCATCCGCAGTAAAGACCTCCTTCCTCCATTCTGCCTAGCTCGTGCACGCTGCAAGGTGAGGCGACGGCTGGCCGAGCTGGGCCTAACATCCAGAGGCAAAGAGAGTGTCGTGGTAGTGTTTGACAGATTCATCAACGAAGATGGCAGATGGGAATATGACTCATTGTGACTCCCAAAAAAAACATCGACCAGGTGGACATGAGAGGAGCTCCCCCTTTAGATCCATTCTGATGTGTGTGAGGCCGGGACAAAGCCGCGGAGGTGCGGGAGAGCTTTGCACTGCAGCCGGGGCCACCCGAGCCATTGAATTCCGCCAGGAAGATCAGCCACCATCAAAGAAGGTGAAGGTAGATCTGGCATTGCATTCTGTGAGCAATCTGAACTAGCATTGCTTTTGGTCTGCGCTTTTGCAGGTTTCTGAGGTTCGATTAGAGGAAGAGGAAGGCCAGGAAGGCCGGAGAACAATCAAGGTTCCTCTCAGTTTTCCTCTTCACAGAATTACAATGGTTTGGTCAAAGTGTGTACACAGCCCCCTCGGTCCCTTGGCCTGCATAGTTTTCTCTTTCTTGACCATCGCAGGCCCAGCTCCAGCTTCGCCAGGGACTCCGAAACATCATGCAGAGCGGGAGGAGGAAGAAATGCTTGAAGAGGACTTGGAACGTTTGTCAGCGGCCCAGTGGTGCTCTGCACACGTTTGTTTAACAATGCGATGACATGCAGCGAAGGCTCGATGCAGCTTACGACAGCTGCCCACGGGATGAGCATGCTGGAGTTGGTGGAAGCACCGCTGCATCCTCAGCAAAAATGGGGTCCATGCTAGAGAGAGAGGCAGAGAGATGAGTGAGACATCTACAGGACAAAGCTAATTTGTAGTAGCCTGTCGTGCATCAACATGTCTTGGCACATTGAGACAGGGAGTTCCTTTTTTTTCAGCACATTTTCCAGATTGCTGGATCATGATGGAAGTGCCAGACCACGATAGCACAGGTTTGGGTATGAGTCTTGCCTTCTGGGGGAAACGTGTGAAGATGGGAACTGGTGAACAGATGTGAACACAAATGAGCCTTGTTTCTTCCAAAGGGCTGTTTGCCTTGGACTTTGCTAACCCGAAAATGCCTTGCTGTGAGCGCCACCTTCAGAACGCTTCTAAGGCAGCTGCGGCTACTGGAAGTGCTGCTGGCACCATGATGGATCCTTCGGGAACGCAGGCCGGCTCTTGTTCCTAATAGCTTCTTGTTCCTAGTAGTAAGGCCAGCAGCCCCTAGTAGCGTCCTTGTTCCTAGTAGCGATGCCCGCTCCTAGTAGCGTCCATTTCCCTAACAAGCGGTGGAACAAAATTGATTGGAGCGACAAGCGCTTTTCACTACGTCGTGTGTGTAGCCTGTCTGCAGGGAGTGCAAGACTCTCAAGACGGCCTCAAGAATCTGGAAATGGAGCTTGAAAGAATGATGGAGGATGCTTGGCAGGTTTGTCATGAAAGACACGATGCAAAAGTCAACGAAGAGAGTTGGAAGGGGAGAGAGGTGTTTGACTGTCTGATGCTCACATTCAGGAAGTGCCCAGCAGTGCACAACAGGGTCAAAACCTTAGAATGTGCCGTCGCATGCTGCACTGCGGTGCCCAAGCCTCAGGTGCTGGTGGTCAAGCCTCAGGTGCTCCAAAGGCCGGGGAGAGTTGAGAGGATTGGGAGCTGAAACAGGGAGCTCCGAAGCAAAAACGCAGGAAGCTGCTGAGACTCAGAAAGACCCAGAGAGCCTGGAGATGGAACTGGAAAGGATGATGGATGCAACTTGGCCGCGACCTAGACAAACGACGAAGAGATGGAACTGACATGGATCAATTAATATTGATTATACAAGTTCTTGGACATTGTTGCCGCATGCCTTTCATAGTTTTTCAGCCTGCAAAACGAGCTAAAAGTTTTCTTGCACTGTGCACACAGGAAGTGCCAGAAAGTTTGGCAGGGGAATTGGCGAAGGGTCAAGGCCGGATTGCAAGAGCTTTCTTTTCCATTGTTGTGCCAACGTGGTTCGAGGCAAATCTCCCATGGAGGCAACAGAAGTATCGTGAAGCTGTTGAGCTTGACTGCATTTTGGCTCTTGAACAAAGAGATGTTGATTTCCTTCTTGTGCTTTGGTAGGCCGCTCCGCCATCCCGTCATGTTCCAGACAGTCTGGAGTTGGAGCTCGAACAATTGATTGACGAGGCCTGCACAAGAAATGGTGCTGTCTTGCTCCAGCGATGATGGCAACTGTTTTTTGTGTTTGAGAACGTTCCAAGGAGGAATTCCCTTGCAGTTCAAGCCGCAAATCCCAAGAGGGTCAAGGTCCACTTGCACAGATCGTTTGTCGATGATTGTCATCTTGTTCTACATTTGTGTCTTTTGTATTCTTTTGTATCTCTTTTTAGTAACAAGTGCATCGCTACTAGTAACAAGTGCATCGCTACTAGTAGCAAGTGCATCGCTACTAGTAACAAGTGCATCGCTACTAGTAACAAGT